TAGTCAATCCGCATATCAACGTACGACGTTCTTCGTCTTTCGTTTTTCTGCTTTGTACCACCAGCAATAGCTGTGTATGATTCATATCTAGATGCTCTCTCTCAGCGATGAATCTCGTCGGCATTTCACAGACAGTGAATGAAATTAGTGAGATGTTTTTGGAGAGCTCTTGAAGCCTATCAAAATATATATAATACTAATATTAATGGATATAGTACTAATGATTTCGGTGTAGAGCAAATATCAGCTTTCCGATAATTGCTTTCACATGGAAAACCGAAGGTGTCTCTCAACTTCGAATTTGTGCTAAAAGTTTCAGATCTTCAACACGTGTTCAGTTCACCCAAAAACCGACAACTGTAGTCTTGCATCTAAACTTCAAAACACGAAGTTCGTCAGAACGACTTTTCATTATGTTTATTGCCCACGTGAAAAACGAACACTTCTATGTTTTTGTATTTCTGTGAGGTGCACAAGATAACAGACTTGAACAAACTTTTTAATGAAGGCGATAACCAGCAGGTTGGGAAATAGTTTCACAAAAACGCTTTTTCAATGTCTTATGATCAAATGAAAAAGGGAAATCGAGTGCCAAAACAAGCGCTTTTCTCAGTAAATGCTGAGCGAGGTTTTCGCTTTTATTTTCCGATTTCTCAAGAATTATCAACGTTAGAACGAAGGTGTCTCTCAACTTCGAATTTGTGCTAAAAGTTTCAGATCTTCAACATGTCTGGTTCTCGATAAAAACCGCATTTTACTTCAGAAATGTGTCCTGAGTTTTTTCGATAAATAATGCTCAGTGAAATTTATGTGGTAATATCTCCAGGAAAACGATAACAAATCTAGACTTAATCCACCAATCAATTTGCCTTGACGAAATCTATCCAACTATCCATGCAGGAAGTCTTCAAACAGTAGCATTTTATTTTCTTCTCTAAAGGATTAGGTTCAAATGTACATTGATGCGTTTTTCTGCTAAAAAAGGCCTGCAGTCAGAAAATCTTTCAAGGAAAGATCACGGAATGCTGATAATTCTAATGAAATATCTTCACATTTACTTCATGGACTTTTTTGTCGTTTAAGCTTTTTCGCCGAATTAGTGGTTTCAGATCACATCTGTTATACCCTGATTGTAATTCATATAAAACATAAATGGCATTCGTACTGGAAGTAGAGCATCTAGATATGAATCATACACAGCTATTGCTGGTGGTACAAAGCAGAAAAACGAAAGACGAAGAACGTCGTACGTTGATATGCGGATTGACTAGATCAGAATCTCTAAAAGTACTTGCAGCACTCCTCGTACCTCTCACCATCGGCATCTTCACAGTAGTCACTACTTTTCAAGAAAATTATGCGGATAAACAAAATCGTCTCACAGACCTAGAAATTGCCGCTCAACAACGGGATCACGAACAACAGCAGGCAAAAGAATTGCAGATACAAACAGCCTATGTTGTATATATAAAAGTAATTGGCGATCTTTTATTAAAATCGGATAAAAATTTGTCCAAGGATGAATTGTAAAATCGTCGAATCATTATTCGAGCCAAAACCTTCTCGACTCTTCGCCAAATGGATTCGCAACGAAAAACGCATCTGATTCAGTTTTTACATGAAGCCGGTCTGTTGCATAAAAATAGAAAGCCAATCGATTTGGATGGAGCCGATTTAAGTAATACGAATTTTAGTGGTTCAGAGATCCTTGGTCTAAATCTAAACTATGTATCTCTTTCGTACGTTACACTTATAAATGCAACGTTTATTAACGTTGATCTCGAACCAGCTGATTTCAGCTGGTCTGTCTTAACATGCGGTTCCTTTACAAATAGTTATCTAGATGGAGCAAATTTTTCTCATTGTGAAATGACATACTCGTACTTTAATGATGTTTCTTTAAGTACCAAGTTCTATATGACAGAAATTAGCCAATAAGAGGCTTACAACATCATATACAAGATACGTGATTACGGTAGATGAGTCGGACGCTTATCTTGTAGGAGTGGGCGTGTTAGGAAGCGTAGAAGATCCCATTCAGAAACTTCAGAAATTCTCATTCACTGAGGTAATATCCTCGTTCTTTGATGTAAATATGTTTCATCACTGTTTCCTTATTGCATGTACACTGTAAAGTCGGGAATTATTTATAGAAAATGCTGGGCGATTCTCAAAACGTCCGTATATGAAATCCTCACGGATTTTCTAGAATACAGAAAATCGAATTTCGAACAATGTAGAAAACCGACATCGGTTTTCTACATTCTTGGGAATTATTTATAGAAAATGCTCAGCGATTTTATATATGGACTTTTCGAAAATCAAAAAGTCGGATTATTCTCTTCTACTTTCTAGAAAATCGATGAGAATTTTCTAGATGATGAGTAAAGACAATTTGAGTGGGAATGCTGATAATCAGTGACTTGCAAAGTGAAAATGGCTGATGACAAACTTTTTCACCGTTATTAAAAGCTATTCAACTTCGAAGTTGAGTGGGGTGTATTATTTCAGCTTATTGGATATCGATACGGATCTTTTAATAATGAAAACCAAATTCGACATCGATCACGTGTTGAACGACTGTTATTTTATTTAAAAAATAAAGAAAATAAATGTGAATTGTTAGCATCATCTCTTTGAGTTAATAGAACCAACTACAGTTTTGGAAGATGCTAAAATCAGATATGAAAATGAGATATATAAGCAAGAGCGAATCGCTTTGTGATCTTCAGGAAGTTGCGGTAGAACTCGACTTTGTGTTAATCAGGCCTAACCCTAAGAACCTTTACAGTGCCTCTTTGTGATCTCTAAGTGTGATACAACAATAATGCTTCTCGCAGAATATGCTGATTTGCAAAAACCGGAGAGAACTTTCTCAATCTACTAACATTTCTGATACTGAATACTACTAAAAAGAGCATAGATCTGTTACAGGATAACTTATTGCAATGAAGGCTTTGATAGATGTGAAAGAAGCAAGAAAAAATGATCGATTCGTCTTAGAAAATCGAATTCGATGCACCAACTATTCACTGGGCGGAAAATTGTCGTTACATCCTTACGCTGTTATGCTCGTTCGCTTTAATTTCTCTCATATTTTCGGACTGAGGACTAAGTGCTAGTGGCTGTTGGACGAGCTGCGTGGGTGGTGGAATCTCTTTAAGCTGGATTATGAACAGATTTTCCGCTGGATTTAGTCGGCCAACCACTTCAAGGTTCCTGGCATCAAAATCATTTATCGTTCTGTATGACTGTAATATGAGTGGTTAGTATTTCATTAAACATATTATTCAGCATTAGACACGTTTGTGATAACATTTATTAAACCTTCCTAAATCGTTTATTTGTCGAGCAAATTCTTTACAATAACTTTGTGATATATCGACATAATCATCCCTGAAAGGTTATCCGATTTTATTCCTTTAAGTAAGATCTATCAATAATGTTTTTCGCTGTTTATTACAACATTTCTGATGTCGAATAATATTTTTAATAACGCTGTCTATCAATGTCAGAGGTAAATGAAATAAACGAAGTTTGTTAATAATCGTTAGAGAAATAAAATAAAGAAAACGTTCCGTTGAACACTGTATGCAGTGGCACTGCAAGAGTTAAAAAGACTTATAAGATATTCTTATCATTACGCGTAAAAACGTCTCAGTAACCGTCCAAATATAGATGAGGTATTTTAAGTTCATCAGAGTTACATGTCATCATAATTCTAAAAACTAACGTCAGTTAAAATTTTATTAAAATTAAAATTTATGAGGCGTTTCCTAAGTGAAATCACGTGCAAATTATATTTTTAAAATGTGACTAACAGATCGTTAATCCTATAGTAAGTTTATATTTAGAGAAATTTATCAACATCTATTTATTTTAAATATAACTCTTCTCTATATGACTAAAGTGTGGGCTAAATTCATTGCTTTATAGTTGTTTTTCATACTGCGTGGCAACTACACAGCCTAGTCTCGTCCACTAGTCATCTCGATGATGAACTGGGAGAGAAAGAATTTAAATCATGGTTTTTCACACGATTCTGTCGTTATTCCTTATGAACGTATGGCTTGAAACTCTACAGCTCTGGTTTTATCGACATCAGAGTACGTGTCAACCATTTGTCAACCACGCTGTTATGCTCGCTCGCTTTGATTTTTATCATATTTTCGGACTGAGGACTAAGTGCTAGTGGCTGTTGGACGAGCTGCGTGGGTGGTGGAATCTCTTTAAGGTGGATTATGAACAGATTTTCCGCTGGATTTATTTGGCCAACCACTTCAAGACAGGTTCCTGGCATCAAAATGATTTCTCGTTCTGTGTGACTATAATATGAGTGGTTACCAATAGCTTTTGCTGTGTCACATTCCACTGCGAAAGCTGTTCGCATCCCCGTTTGCCCAAGAAATTGTTCCGTTTGAAGAACGTCAAGAATAGTTGTACATGAACTCATACCCCACCAGACAAATTGGGTTCCAGTTTTATAATTTTCACTCAAATTAACATCTTTCACACCACGCCAGACGAATGTTCCAGGATGCGTGGGTAGTTTTTGAAGTGCAGGTAGAAATAGTTTAAGATAGTGAAACCAGGGTTTTAAACTATCACGATGTTCAGAACGTAATGTTTTGTTCAGTAGCTGATAAAAATTGGGACCAACTGAAAATTCCATGGTGTACAAATGTATAGCAGCCGATTCGTCCTGCGATAACTGATCTTTTGGTGAATGACAATGTTCCTTAGCAGTCTGAACATAATGGCTTAGATTATGGAACAAGTGTTGAATAGGTTGAATTGCTTTCTCCAAAGGTAACACAGGAACATCTTCGTAACCTTTGATTGGTGTCAATAGTTTGTCGGTGGGTTCGTGAGGTATATCGGTGTAACGAGAATGTGCTTGCTGAACTTCTTCACGTTGCCATTCCGGTTTTATACCTGTAACAGAAGTATTCCGTTTATTGTCATATTCGAGAGTTTTATTTAAGTGGTAAGCGGCTTACTCGAAGACGGAATTTGAATTATCTGTCCAGGTACTAAAAATTCTGGTTTAACTTTGGGATTAGCAGCTAGGAGATCTTCTAATGGGCATTCATATCGTTGAGCTAATTGCCAAAATGTATCCCCAACGGCAATAACGTGAGTTGACATAATGTTTTTACAATTCTGTTTTCTGCCTCCTTTCCTTATATTCTTTTGTATATATTATGGTTATAATACCAGGGTCTTTTACCTCTCAGTGGTTTTATCCTTTTATCGTACATAATTGTCGTGCATCAGAAAAGAAGAAAATTAAACATATAGAGAGACAGAAAACAAAACAGATGTATGACATGAACGAAAGTGAAAGTTTCGTTATTTATTCTCCTTTCGTCCAAATGAAACACTACTATATAGGGTCTATGATGCGCGTGTCAACTGAAAAAGAAAAATGTATTTTTTTTCTTCATACCTCATACGCAAAAATTTTAAAAAATAAGACGTAGGTATTGCGGGTTCCCTCCTATTTTTTTCTTCAACTTAGAAAGTCCAAAAATAGAAAAGTTGCTCACCAGTCGATAGCGCACTTTAGACTAATTCGGAATATACATTTGTTTGCCCAATAGCTACGTTTGTTCTTTTATAATTTTTGCGTATAATCCGATTTTCCGATGGACACGGGTTTTTTAATGTGTTTTTGTGTATAGGATTTTCCCAGCTTAAATAAGTTCTAGGAGATAAAAATTTTTTCCCATTAAATAGAGCATGTTTCAGAGTATATTAGTCATCCTTAAAAATCAACTTTCATTTTTTCATCAAAAGCCAGCCTGGATGCACACTTTGTAAGGCCTCCCTCACGCAAAAAAAACCGAAACATTCGCCTATGCGGCTTGTCCACATAATGCGCGCTACTTCGCTGATCAAGTTTTTATGTTTTTTACTCGATAAATCGGTAGAGGCACATTACAATACGCAGTTTTGCACGCTGATTATGGAATCTGACAGTTTTTTTCAAAAAAAATGGAGTGTTCATTTAAAAAGTTGAAATTGAAATTTTTTAGAAAGTTTATTTTCAATTTCCTCACCTCGACACTTTCTGTAAAGAAACTGAAATACACATAATCGGAAAGAGAATTCAATTCACTACAAAATGACTTATTCAGCTTTTGAGTTTTGAGGCTTTAGAAAAAATTCAAGTTTTCAAAAAGAGTTAAATTTTTTGGAAATGTCCAAGAGTGCAACTTTTGAAATTAATGATTCACAGTGTTAAAGCCGTTTCCCAACAATTTGATGTAGTGCATTGGAAAGAGTACACAGAAATCTATCTAGCTGTACACAAATGAAATTGTTTGAAGAAGCTTTAGTGCTTCAAAACGAGATGAGAAAAGATGATCAAAAGTCAGAAAATAAATGTTACTGCGTAACGGAATAAAACCCTGTTTCAGGCTCGTAGAAAATAGTTAGCAAATAAACCTTTTTAGCAACGTATAGCCCGTTGTCTCACTCAAAATTTCCAGAGTATGTTAGATCACCGAGAAAATCGCAATTTCTTCTGTCCTTCAAAAATTATGGGCTGAAATTATTGTGTCAGAATTGTTACTGCGTAACGCTTGGACAAGCCGGATGCTCCCTCACAGGCGACTTTTCATGAAGAAACGAAAGTTTTGCAAAAATCATTCGACTCAGTTTTAGCGCTGATTCCGAATATCACCTGCATTTTTACTTTAAAAACGATTCCTCATGGTAGAATTTTGTAATTATTCCCAAAACTATACATGAAGTCTATATTTCGTTGATACTTTTATAGTGTGTTATATATAGCCTGAATATAGACCTATAACCTATACAAACGCCATGAGATATGAAGAAAAAAAATGCATTTT